TTTATATCTTGGTTTCTCACTTTACTTGAGGAACCCATTTCATCCAGTTTTCTCTTTGGAATCCCTTTGTCTTCAACTTTTTTATTGAGTTCAGCAATTTCTTTCTCGAACTTGGCTATCTTTTCTCTAATTTGAGTTCCATCAAGGACCTTTATTGGATCAATATTGTGATCTTCCATACACTTGACTACAGATTGAAGTGAAGCTAATTGCTTTTCATTGGCATGTTTCTGTGAGAAGATTATTACGTAAATGCAACATCAGGAAAATTAAACAAAATGGCATTTTAGAAATATGCCAGGTAGAAAAGGAGCATACCAGTGCCTTAGGTGAATTACGTGCCTCTCGTCTTGCCTTTTCATATGCTTCCTTAGACTCTCTTACAAATGAAGTCAAAATTGACTGAGGAGGGAATCTATCCTCAAGTCCAAAGGTAACAGCTATATCAATGGCGTTAACATGCATCCCATTCTTCACCATAGCATTTACAATATCTGTGGTACAGAGAACACATCACATAAGAGAAGGAATAACAGCAAATGAGCAAGAAAAATCTCCAACTATATACAAAAGAAACATGGAAATGATAAACTCAAATGCAGCCAAAGCTTTCATAGAGTTGGATAAATCATCACTTTAAGAGAATTTTTAATATGCTCTATACCTATTGTAGAGACACATGACTAAGGAATATGGCAAGAAAAGAACCAAAACAATTGGGCAAATCCAATGAATGCCTGTTGTGGCGCAAGTTCATGTTCTGGTTACTTCCCAAAGTGAACCAAGAGACCAGCCAAGAACATTTCCATTAAACAATTTCAGGTTTTACATCTAAACATAAATTAGAAGGCGTTGGAGAGTACACTCTCTCAGGCCCTTTTGTCTAGCATTTTTAAGTACTAACTCAAGTTCTTTCCTTCTTTTTGACGTGATAAACTTATAACAAACCTTTAGATGATGGGGTCCCCTGATAGTGAGGGCAGATCCCTCCATCTAATTGCTGGTGGTTTACAGTCCATACTAAACTTATAATTAGTTTCATTTTTCTCTCAGGGGTGCATTACAGTCACATCAGAACATCAAATGCAATTTGAAAAAAAGTCCAAAACAAAAGGAACCATGAAGTACCATGAGAAAACCTAAAAATAGGAATAGAAATATAGAACTAAGTCATCAAAGTAAGAGCAAGCTAACAAAAAAACAAAAAAAAGAAAAAAGAAAAAGGCTCCTATAAACTTAAAAAAAAACATTTCTTATCAACTAACGCCCATATACCTGGCATTTTTGCAACCAAGCCAGGAGAAAATTTTAAGGCCTCTGAAAGCTCCTTCAAATTGCACAACCGCAACAAAGTCCCAACCTCCTCGTTCCTAAATGCTTTTGGAATTCCAAAAGACCCAATGAAAAGCAGCAAACCCCTGGCATCAATCTCGCTAGCCTTACTTAACCCACCTTCACTAATCAACCTCTTTTTCCATGCAATTGCTCCCATTTCCGCCTCTTCCTTCAGACCCTGTTCAATCTCAACCTGGCCTCCATCACAACCTCCCATCATCAGAAGGAAAAGTTCCAAAATAAAAACGGATGCTTGTCTTGCAGGAATCATGGGTGAGTCCTTGCTATAGGCTCTAATACCTTGCAGAAAAAACCTCCCAATGCATTCCAAAACCAGTTTTGCCGGCTTTGGGGCGAGCTTCAGAGCTGCAGGTACTTCTTCCCGAAGCTTCGGGATGTCGAATAAATGCGTGGCGATGTACCTCCGGAGACCCTTGCTGCACATTGTTTCGCAGAGGTGCTGAATCTCCGTCCTTGAGGATTTCACAACTGTTTCTGGGTCAGGATTTGTTAGCTCTGTCGTTCCTGTTTTATCTGTCTCCGTTGATTCCAGAGGCACGTCCGGCGCCAATCCATTCTTAATCCGCTGATGCCGCCGCCGATTATCATCGAATTTGGCGTCAATAGCCCTGTTAATGAAATCCAGGTGCTTTTGCAGCTCATCGAATCTGCGTTTAAAAGCGTCAAATGCGGAAGCAAAAGACCCAATTTCATCAATGGATTTCATGAACTGGGGCTCCCCTTCTTGTTTCTGAGGCCCAGGTTCTCCATGGGTTACTGCCTGAATCACCGCTTCTTGTGACGGAGGAAACTCCGGCAGCGAATGCTGTTCTTGCTTAATGCAAGGAAGAGTGTTGGCAGAAGTCAGTTCCGCCATGGGAATGATGGAAATTAGTCGGAGCCCTAAATTGGCTCTGGATTCCAGCCAGATACGGAGAGAAAAAGAGTGTGCGTTTCTGAAGGTTTGAGGGGCATCCACGATACACAGACAGTATCGTTTTCGTTTATAAATCTCGTGAAATAGCGAAAAAATCAAAACTTCATAATGTTAAAGTTTGATTCGTCCAATTCTAGTCCTTATAATAAACATAATTCATGTGAAAATTACATTAAAGTTAAATTATATTGTGTATTATATGTTTAATATTTAGATTATTATCAATAATTTAAATAATTTAATATTTATTTTTT